CCGGACAAGGTGCGTTCCTCTTAATCTTCCTACCAATATTACCAAGTTGCGAAAACCAGGTCAAACAACTTTTTTACGACTAAAGGAGGCTGAGACCACACAAAAGGCTACACCATCTTGGTCTTTATAGCTTCCAAAAATGAGGTTAAACTAACACTATAAAGCTAAGGGAGACTGCGACAAAACACAAGGCTACACCATTTTGGTCTTTATAGCTACGATATAAGATAAGGAATGTTGGGATTTTAAGCTATGTGATATAAACTTGTATGCATTATATAAAACATAAAGATAATGCATATGACAGCAATCAATTTACTATTGGACACTAAAGACTATGGTCACATAAGGTTACGAATCCTTAATGAAATTGAATTACGTAATCTCGTTGTCGATAAAATCGACTATAAGTCCTCAACTCATGTGAGATGAGGCTATTAAAGTTCTCACTTCAGATACGCTGATATTCTCGACATTTTACCAATATGGAAATCAAATCATGATGCTATGGTGATGAGAGTATGCAAATATTATTTTATAAAAGAAATAACAAGGTACTGTATCCTCATTGAGAGAGGAAAGGCTTAATGACAAATAAAAGCGAGATATAAGGGTGGACTTTTATCTTGCAACTTACATGGATGTTTATTTTGTTCTTATGCATCATTAAAATCTTTCATATTTGTTTTAATCTAACTGCGCAGTTTTTAATCTTAAATGGTTAAAGTTGTTTTCATTCTGAAGGTATTTTAGCACCTTTGATTTAATGCTGTGTGAATTTTTCCGGCTACATTTTATATAATCTCCTTCATTTTTCAGCGTTTGGCCACTCTTACTGCTCCCGCCTACAACCTGCTTGAGGACTTGCTTCGTCCTGTTCAGCGATTCGTCACCACTTTGGCCAAACCAATTCACCTCATTAATAATACTCCATTCACATTACTTACTACTGCTTCCAGAAATGTTAGCGACCTCGTAGCTGAAGCAGAATCTGATTTGGCCTTTGAACATCCACGTGGCTCCGCAAATGTAGTTTCGAAGGATGGCGCTAACTTGGCCTCATGGTCTTCAATGCTTGGGGATGCGGACCGGGAGCGCCAAATGATGCTGTTCTTAATGAGCCGGCTTCAACCAATTCTGATTCTGGCTGTTGGTGCAGCACAGCACTGGCCATGTGATTTCCAACTGACCAGTATGAAAACATTTCATAGTACAGCCCCAGCATTCAAAGGTATCCATATTTATGTCTTCCTTCTATCTATGCATACAATGGCTTCAGGGAACTGGTTTAGTTAGCAAATCTTGGTATATAATTTACAATTAAGCTTTTTTATAATTAATAAATACTTGCTACTCGTAAGTACGTGACTCGAATTATCTTAATCTCATTGTAACCAGCGTCTAACTCTTACACAATTTTCAGCATTTTTTTACATTTTATATATAAAGAAGTAATCTATATCATTATGTTCCATCGCTATGCTATGTTATATTCAATGTTACTTATTCTAAATTCGCTTAAACTAAATCATGCTAGAGTAATGATAAAACAATACTTGGCTTTATGTACCTTGAACAAAATGGTTGTGAAGATCTCATATTTTATCAAAGGCTTTCAACAAATAAATTATGCATTCTTGTAGATTACTTTCCATTTAGGCTGGCCAACAGATTTTGAAAAATAGGACTACTGAGGCGTGTATGAAAACTTAGTTTCTGGAACTAATGAGGCGTATTATGAGAGTCTCTTATGTTCTTGTGTTTCAAAGAATGTCGCAGAAGACTTTAACACTATATTATCTGTAGGTTTATCCACAAGTGTGTATTGCCTTTGAGCTGATTGTTTGGTTTCCTAATTTATC